AATTTCATAAAAAAAAATCATGAAAATACTGTAAAAAACCAGCAGTGGAATTACTGAATTCATATCAGCTGATTAAAGGTCAATGTACGCACGAACGCTGAAAAAAGAACGCTGGCCTTGAACCTGAGCACTGAGCGATTAATGAGTGAGTGGTAAGAAGGGGGCGCGACGGGGGAACAATCCGCCAGTATTACTGTGGCCGCACGCTATTGGTTTCCGCGCTTTGTTCGCTCCCAAAATACAGTCGCATACACAGCTTACTTTGCGACTCGCGACGTACGTCTGTTAAACACTTATTTTCACTTTAAAACTTGAGATTTGGCAAATACAAGCGGGATTTGCTTTGTTCTCGAATAATGCCAGGCCGATACAGGCCGATAGCGTGTACGTAAATAGCCTCGTCTATCTTTCTCGCTCTACCGTACACATACACTATGCTCTTTCTCTTTTGCATTGCCAATTTATTCTTACGTCAGTTTATACTAAATCTATACTCTCGCTAGTATTAATTTGAATTTTAAGTTATCATGGTGAAATATGTAGTAACAAACAATAAAATTATTCACGGAAGCAAACCTAGAATTCTTTTTGTAGCTACGTAAGTAATATTTTGATATGAAAACACTGATTATAACAAAATTATATGTGGGTATCAAAGGATGTGCAGTAACTAGCTGTAAAACAATTCACGGAAGCAAGTATAGAAGTCAAACGTCAACCTTGACGCATCACTACTCTTCATTTATAATAGCATTAGAAAAAACAAGCTCGTAGCAGCAGGAGTGCAAAACATTTTAATTCAAAGTTAAGTTTAGATAATTTTAATGAAAATTTTCATTAAATTGTTTTAACATAACTTTGAGAAATTAAATATTGTTAAAATATGTAACTGTTCCCAAATTACCCTAGACACGTAAAATTGTTCGTCTTTCATAATTATATTAAAATTAGTGGTATATAAGAGAGAATGTAGTAAATACTAAGACTAACGAAATGACAGTCATTTCTAAAAACAATGATTTTTTAATTACAAGAAAAAAGCAAGGTTGTCATATTACTTTCAAACATTATATGATTCTTGCCTGCAACGTAGCAAAACAATAAAATAAGAAAAAATAAACAGTAAAAAGTATCATAAATATAATTCACAAGTGAATTTATAATAAGCTGTAATTGTCATGAATGACAATCACAGATTTTAGTTATTTACACAAAATAACAGATGACACCAAAAACCGGCAAAATTAAAAAAAATCCTGCCATCACAACTTATCAAGGGATTACGTTATATTTTCAGTTTGGTAAATTAGCAGTGAAATTACCTAAAATCATTCCTGGCACTGTCCACCGCTGATTCTTTTAGGTTTTTAGCGTTGATTTTGCACTTTTACATAGTATAAAATACTATATCTAAATAATAGCCATATAATTTCATGAGCTAAATAATAAAAAAAAATTGAAATAAGTGTGACAGTTGATGTTTAAATAGATTACATAAACTTACGCAACTTACGCATCAATTTTAACTGTTACATATTTATTGTTCTTTTGTTATAAAGTGTGAGTTATAAAAAACCTTTTTTAACTTCTGTCTAATGCTATTTTAAATAGAGTATAACTATGTATCTATAGAATATCTGCTTAAGCTTGGCATAACCCAAAATGTTCTAATGCTATACGCGCGCTCTAGGTAATAGTCCACATAATATAAATGTTAAACAAGTGTTAAAAATTTAAAACAGAAAACTCAGAAATGACAGATAAATTGTTAAATTTGAATTAAAGGAAGATAAAAAAAATCTAGAAGATTAATAATGATTTAAAGGAAGTTTGAAATGCCTTATCCGGATTTCAGATGAAACGATGACATTCCGCCGAAAAAAATATAGAATGCATCGTGATTTTAGATAGTATCAAGAGCGACGTAAATAATAAGATATATTTTTTAATTTATTCGTTTAAAAAAGTTGTTTGAATAAAACAGTTAAATTAAAAATTTTTATCGGTGTCGTTTTATTTTGGATTTGATAAGTGATGTAAAAACTTATAACTTATGTCCAACTGAAAGTCTATTATTGATTATAGTAGTGATAACATCGAGAAGACGGACTGGTCTGGAGACTAACATCCAGAAGACTAATATTATATTTTTACTATTCTAAGCTTGAGTTTAACAACTATCCCACCTGATGGTAAGTGCTGATGCAGTCGAAGATGGTGAAGCGCACTGACTTAACAAAAGCCTTTTCACTATTACCTTGAAGACACCCACATTGTATTCGAATAGAAAGACAGTTACTGGCAACTTATTTCACTCCTTTGCTGTATGCATTACGCTGTTACGCAAGATGTAGCAAGCCGTTTGGTTCATATGCGTGGTAAATAGACAAGGGAAGGGTGGAGACTGGCCGAGCGTCTGGGCGTCAGGTTGTGTGATGGTGGAAGGGAGAGGGAGGAATTAAGTACTTACAATATTAAAAAAAAATAGAAATAATTACAAAAAGAAATATCTTATACAATTGGTACGTAAAACTTGCGAAAACTGACGCATGTATGATTGAGTGTGATAATAAACATCTAATTAATATATTGCACAAATATTCGGATTATTTTGCTACTTCTTATTTAGAATAAATGCATCTTATGTAAAAAAGTTAAAACTAATTGATATTTGGATTTTTCAACAATAGCTCTTACCCGCGCCTTCGCACGCGTGGAATTTACTACGATTTAATGGGTTTTAATTTTTTGCGCGGAACCCAATTCTTTTTCTGAAATAAAAGTATTATAAGTCACTCCTTATAACATCAGCTATCTGCCAGTGAAATTTTCGTCAAAATCGATCCAGCCGTTTCGGAGATTAGCTGCAACAACAAGACAGACAGACAGGCAAAAATTTAATTTTTTTTGTTATTAGTACCGTATATACTTTCATATGCATTTGGTAAAAAGCTGTTATTTAAACATTACAAACAGACACTTTAATTTTATTTATTCGTATTTTATGTATAGGGCAAGGTGTTTTGCCCGGAGGACCGGCCAACGCTCCGATTGGTAGTTCGGAGCTATTCTATATATACTGCTTTAACTTCGGAACTTTGTTAGCGCGATTTAGGCTGCAATGTGTTTCACTTGTGGCGCGACGACCGCGCCGCTACATCACCCCCCTGCTCAAACCGCAGGTCGATAGTGCAGTCCGATTGCCGGTGCGTCCTTAATGCCGGTGGGGAATGCGTGCTGTGTGCGTAAGGCCAAATACTACGCACTTGCAAGTGATGCTGGTGAGAACGAAGAGCCAGAGCACGTGCCAGGGATTGTCTTGTAGTTTGCGGTGAGTTGAGAAGAAGGCATGTAATCAGCGAGAGTGCCGTGAAGCAGAGGCGAGCAGTAACGCTCAGAGCCGTGCCGAACACTGTAGCGCAGAGAGTAGCTTGAAGGAACAGGAAGCATTATTACTCCAGTGCTGTGATGAACCTTTGTAAAGCTAAATGGCTGGCAGATTGTGAAGACTGCAGACAATATCTGCTCGGGAGCGAATGAATGGGGTACTTGAGGAAGATGACGAAGGTTTTGAAGTTGTAGTTTCCGAAGGTTGTTGGTTTTGCGTGTTTAGATCACGTCGGGGTCACCACTGTAGCGGGTGGAAGGAAAAGGGGAGATCTCCCGCCGGGCAAGGTGTTCTGCCCGGGGAGCGGGCAACGCTCCGATTGGTAGTTCGGAGCTATTCTATATATAGTGCATTAACTTCGGAACTTTGTTAGCGCGATATAGGCTGCGATGTGTTTCACTTGTGGCGCGACGACAGCGCCGCCATAAACTCATCACAATCACATCACCTAATGTAAATGTAGTACAACATGAGCACAGGATACAATTACTCTCTACTAAGAGAACATGAGCAGGACTATCAGACTAGCTATTTATGTCCAGCCCAAGGAGGTTTTATATTATAACCTCATATAACCAATAACGTCCATATGAAGCGCTCCTATTGCAGAGTTTTATTCTTCCAGTTAGGCAATAAATATATAATAAATCATCTTTTTTAAACCGACTTAAATTCTACAGAAATAAAGGATCTGTTATAATTCATATGATTCTGCACAATTCTGCAAACATATTAATATAAACAAGACGATGTCATAAATGTAGACAGTCGATGGATGACGGTGGCATAGGTCCGTGCTTTGTGACATTTCTTGGGGCAGGCCTATGTTCAGCAGCGAACTTGTGAAGGGCTTTAATGATGACGATGATGATGATGAAGACGATGTCTGTGAAGGTATATTCTTTCGATAAAACACAGTACATAAACTAACCTTAATGTTGAAAAACAATATTTTTGTCAATATCAATAGGATACAAAAATATAGTCGAATTGATGACCTTTCTTAACCGTATGTTTTACAAAAATTATTCTAGTTAAGTACATACATCATTAAACGAAACGTAAATTTTCTTTCGTCAATGTTTTAAAGAATTCTTATTTCATTATCTTTTCATTTTTATTTTACTTTTAAGCTCTTTATCTATATAATCTCTTATCTCCCATTCAATTGTAGTATTGAATACAATATTAAATAGGTATATTAAAAAAAAATTACTTTAAAATGAGCTTGATTATATTTTACGTATATAGTTTTTACTTTAGTTATTTTTATTTAGTTATTGAACACAATCCATACTTAAAAAAATAGTAACTACAAAAATACACAGTATTTGCTTTAATTAAAGAGCTATATTTTAGTTAGTGTATGTTTTATTTGAAAAGAACCGCGAAGTTCTCATTTCCTGTTTAATTTGTGATTGACTTGTGTATGATGTATTCATTTAAATGTTAGGTATCGCGTTTTATTTGCATAAGTTAGAAAGAGGAAAATACTGTTTTTGTTATACCGCAGTAAAGGACAAGAAACTGCCCATAGACTAAAGAATTTTAAAATGGCGGACATTTTGTGAGAACCCTCTTCCGTTTTCGTTTCCCCTCTGGCCCCTCTGCCGTCAGTGTAGTGTATCATTCACCGCAAGAGAAAAATTGAAATCGTGTTGCAATTTGCTGGCTTAATTACTTTATTTCCCTTCTAACAAGTAAGTGCATTAAAATTATATTGAGTGATATATTTTTCTTGTGTTTTATAGTGCATTAAGTCGCTATCGTATTTTGGTACTTTTGTGTCTGTGACGCATAAAAGGAGTGTCCCTAGCAGCAGCCATTTTGCCTGAGCCGGCGACACGATTTTGCGGTGCGGTTAGCTATAAATCCAAATTTTGGTTTTCTAATCCTTCATTCATTTCTCCCCAAGGTTTTCTTTTCTGTCTGTCGTACAAGCCTATCTCACGTTATATATCTACTAATTTTGTAAGATGATTTTTGGCTCGTAGTAGACTAAGTAATAAATGGTAATTTAGGAGCGCGCCTATCTTTCATTAATTAATTACATTTATATTAATCTGATTATTGCTTTCAAAGGCGTGGACATATAGAATATACCGCGTAAGCGCGTAATTTCTACCAATGTGAATTGTAACCAACCGTCAGGTTAGTGCGTAATTAATTTACCGTGCGTTCTTTAACCAGTAACGTCCTTATCTTGCATGATAACTGTTCAGATTATTGGGGGATCAATAGCTAAAATAATTCCAGGACTAATTGTGTAAGTTTCTGTGGTGAAAGGGACATCAATCTATAGATAAAAAATTATTTTATTTAAATGATAATACTAGATTGCGGGCCTGGCCCTTATCTTTTTAAAACACGTGCGACAAAAATTTGTTCACCTTAAAAAACTATCATATTTTATTGAATAATGAAAAAATTTTTTTTTACAATTTCTTTGAACTGCCAATACTCTGTTATGTAGTAGCTGGTACATACAAAAAACAAAAAGGTTCTTTTTTTCTGATATTACATGACATGGTTTTACACTTGAAATTTTTAAATTTCTTGTAACTGCTTTGTACCTTCATGTGAGGTGATGGTATTTCTTACCTTACCTTTATACTTTTGAGTAACTAATTCAAATTGCAAAATTTCTTATACAAATTACTGAATGATATCTATATACTTAAATTGTTTAAACCACATATTTTAAAATACCTGTATTTGTAATTGTAATTTAAAAGTACATATTTTTATACTATTTAAATAATTTAATATATTCTTCCATTTTTTTTAATATATCTAGTGAAAATGTACTTAAAAGTCCAGGTTATGGTAAGTGGCTATTGAGACATCTGCAGCCAACTGCAAACAGAAGGCTACAGATGCATAACCCGTTGCCACCTCTGAGTACTCTGATGGAATGCCTCACAGCCGTTAATTATACTGAGTCTGTACCCATAGGACCCAGAAGATAAGGAACACAGCAGTAGAGACTTTAATATGGCAGTAGTAAAACCAACTCTTAGAATAGAAGTCCTACAATCTTGTAGTGGTGGTGGTGGTGATATTCGAATGGAGGAAAACACTTATGTATTATATGCACCAACAGTCTTAATTATACTAATCTGTGAGGTATTTTGTTCCATGATTATAGTACTTATTTTTATGATGGTAGGTGGTTCGGGAGCATAATCTTTAATAATTCAGAATTTAAGCTCAGATTCATGATAGTTCTCACACCTTAATTTTTCAATGAGCAGTATATTATGTAATATAAGTTTGTGAGGAATTTTTGATGCCCATAATGGGCTAAATATAGAGCAAGAATTTTTAAGGAATGTTGGCCATCATGGGAATTGTACAACTGCATAACTATTGTAATGATTACATATTGCAAATGTTATGGTACTGTTATTCAATTAAGGTAATATGATGCTATATTCACTGTTATCTGACATTTTGTAAAAGAACATAAAATCTAGATCTTTCAATAACAGTGCTGATACTATTATACATCTTTTAATATACACTATAAATATATGGGCATTTTTGTCAGTTTGTAATTGGTCATTTTTGAACATGAGCAACCTCTCACTAGATCCATAGTCATAATCGCCTTGATTTTTGGGACATTAGATATACCATACCAGTTACATTTCAAGATTCAATAACAGTTCAGAAAGCCTTTTTTAACGAATGAAATAGTTTGGCTGGTAACTTTTTTTTATAAAAAACACCAAATATTAAACAAAAAGCTATCCTAGGAATTTATTCTGTATTATGGAGGTGTTTTTAAATATAAATTGCATATGGGCAATCATCCAGAACTGGAACTTTATTTTTGTTCCCGGCTGGATGTGAACCTGCATCAAGCTACTAAGACAGAGATAATTTGAGACATGTAAGGTGACTTGATGCAGGTAGAGTTGATAAAGCCTAAAGAAGTCCCTGGGCTATGCAGTATATATTAATTTATATACAATATATATTATGCTGTACCATTCTCCCTTTTTCCAACATTCTATTCCTATATGTAAAATTATTTTTTTAAGATGTTACATAAACATACATTGCATATGAACAAAATTATTTGTGAATCATACAAGTTTTTGTTTCATCCTAGATGTAAACCCTCAGCTCTTAGCATTAAAAGTTAGCCTTTGAGTTACTGAGACAGTGATGACTTGAGACATGCAAGTTCTTTATGGATTAAGCCATATTACTAGGCTATAGAAGTTTCAGGCTGCCTCTCTTTCCATCTTTCTTTATCATCCAAAAATGGTTTTTCTTAAACCGCGGGGGCTTTAGCGACGCGGCGCGGGGTAGGTGATTTTGCTTTTGATTTAATGACTGAATGTGTATGCAGTTTGATATTGTCATGTTGGTTAAAAAAATATAATGAATACTTACATAGATTTCCATAGAATAAGTAGGTCAGTAGGTTAATCTTTAGTCATAAGATGTTATATTACAGAGCTATATTATATTCCTTAATAATTGAATTGTCTTTTTTCATACATCTTTGGAGGAAGAAAAATATTTACTATGAAATCAGAATATATAATGAAGAAAATCGTATTAGAAAGGACCATATGTATTTTTAGGGATACTAGCTGTTCTTTATTTTAAAGGCTTTGTATATTTATATTACTTAATTTCGGAAAAAATGTTGGCAGTGCCCTTATTTTCTTTATCAGCAACATATATGTATATATTTTGTGTGTGAGATTCATATCTCATAGTAAGTAATATGCTTCTTGATAAAAATGCTAGGTCGAAGTGGACCCCAGCAACAGTATTTGGAATATATGGCGGTGTATAGATATATAAGGTGTAGGGGGTGTAGTGGGGGTTGGCGCCGGGCTGACGGGTGCGGTGCACGCAGGGTGGGTAGCAAGGGTGAGGGGTGTGTGCAAGCGTCGCGCTAGTCGTATTTCGTCTGGAGTGTTTATCCCGCGTCGTCGGATCAATACAGTTGGCGCAGTTGCGGTGGTAGAGCGACGGCGCGTGCCTTGTTACTCACTACACTGGCCCGAGTCTGTGAGATGCTGTCAAACCGAGCGGACGCCGGGTCGATGTCGCGTTTGGCGTGAGAGTCGCTCTCTGAGCTACGTTGAGTTTGTACATTGCGCCAGTGCGCTCAACAGCCTCCAAGGTGCGCCGCCTTATATGATGACTCACATACCCAATTTGGATTCACTACGGTGAAAGTGACACCCAAACGATTAGTCTTTCTGAAAACAAAAATTTTTTTTTCGGGTTTCTGCAATTCTATATTCCGTAAGTTGAATTTTTATTTTCTTTTGTTACAGGGGCATCAGTAATATAATTCTTATAGATCGCCAAAGATGTCCGTCGACAAGGAGGAACTGGTGCAACGCGCCAAGTTAGCGGAGCAGGCTGAACGATACGACGACATGGCGGCCGCAATGAAAGAAGTTACGGAAACCGGCGTCGAACTCAGCAATGAGGAAAGAAACCTTCTTTCTGTTGCTTATAAAAACGTAGTGGGCGCCCGGCGGTCATCATGGCGAGTAATCTCCTCCATTGAACAGAAAACCGAAGGCTCAGAAAGAAAACAACAGATGGCAAAAGAATATAGGGTTAAAGTAGAAAAAGAGCTCAGAGAAATCTGCTACGACGTTTTGGTAAGACATTACTTTCAAATATTTTTTAATTTAACATAGAAATTTAAAAATTTAATTTCCTTTATTTTTAATTTAATTTTTATATTTTCAAAATTGTAGCATAAATATTTTTTCTTAGTGACGAGGATATTACGGAATTCCTTCCGCATTAAATAAATTGATAGCGGTCGTAACCTTCCTACGCGGATGACGTCATACTATATTTGCACGGTGCGTTGCCAATTAAAGGGGTGATGTAAACGATTATATGTCGCGGTCATTTTGGCTAAATTGTACGTCGATTTAACGATGGGCGTTATAAAACTTTAGGTAGCTCAGCTCACATGGCCGCCAGGGCGCGGTGCGGCCTTTACACGGGCGGGGGAGGGCGGGGTGACGTATTGCGCCGCGTCACTGCGCGCGCTGCTATCCCATCTTCGTTCGTTGCCCTATCTCTACTAGACATCGACTATTTGATGCATTTTTTCGTTAATTTCTGTAAAGTTGTATAAAAGAATACAACTTTTTGTCTTTTTACTTAATAATCATTGAAGAATGTACACGGGTATTGAAAAGTAATCTGCAGTAGTATATAGATTTTTCTCGGCTTTTATTACAATACGTTTTGACTTACAATTTGTTAATATTTTTACTTTATTGGTTAAAAAGAAATTTTCTCACATATGTTTACTTAACTGTATCACTTGTGAGTTCTGGTAACTATTAAAAAAAAAATATTTTAAAAATTACATTTTTAATTATTAGTATTTGTTCATTTCATGAACTATGAAGTGTGGCCTCCTGGCCTATTTTGACTAGGTACTTTGTGTCTAGTAAAAGTGCGTCGTCACAAACTTGTGAGTTTATGTTATCTCATTATATTGCTTATTTGTGCAAGTGTAATGTTCAGTAACATTGGCAACTCATCCTCAAACTATCTTATACAACGGAACACAAAAATTCATGATTATTAAAAGTATAGAACTTGTTAGATTTCATTATATTTTTATTTTGATGTTACGTTTTTATAATGTTTTTTATTTAATGGTATAACATGAATACTTTAAGACAAAATTTTCTTTCAGGGCTTACTTGATAAACACCTTATCCCTAAAGCTAGTAATCCAGAAAGTAAAGTATTTTACCTTAAAATGAAGGGAGATTACTACAGGTACCTAGCAGAAGTGGCCACAGGAGAAACCAGAAATTGTAAGTTATTTTCTCTACAGCATTTAACATATTTTGGATTCATTAAATAAACATATTTTGTCAGTTTTGGAATAGATTGAGTTGTAAATCATAAACTTAGATTGTTAACACCCCTTTACATTACAGCTGTTGTAGAGGATTCACAGAAAGCATACCAGGATGCTTTTGAAATCAGCAAGGCGAAAATGCAGCCCACACACCCAATAAGGCTCGGGTTGGCGTTAAATTTCTCCGTGTTCTATTATGAGATATTAAATTCACCCGACAAGGCGTGTCAGCTCGCCAAACAGGTCATTATTTGTGTCAGTTATGCATAGGCTCTGTGCTGGCTGGCACGAGGGTGAGCACCCGCGGCGCTAACTTGCTCGCTTGTCCCCAGCCGTCGTGGAGGACTCGCAGAAGGCATACCAGGAGGCGTTCGACATCGCCAAGGCCAAAATGCAACCGACTCATCCCATCAGGCTCGGTCTCGCGCTCAACTTTTCCGTATTTTATTACGAGATTATCAACTCCCCTGCGCGGGCGTGCCACTTAGCTAAACAGGTTTATTCATTGCACATTCTGCAGTGTATTCAACCTTTTGATGATGCATCCCCTTACTAACTTATAGAATAGTCATCTTACGTGATATCGCATGACTGAAAATGTTTTCGAACTTAATTTAGATGTATTTAAAAAATTGTAAATTCACTAATCTTGTCTTGGCATGGCCATGTTGAAAGCAATTAACCTTTTAATACTCGATCCAGCCAGCATCTAGAGTGTTTTAACTTGTGAATTTATAAATATATTTGATGTTGTTTTAAGTGTATAGTGGGCTATTGTATGTTATTAGTGGAAAGAAAGGATGAGCATGTGAGCGCTGTTTATGTTGCAGGCATTCGACGACGCGATCGCCGAGCTGGACACACTAAACGAGGACTCTTACAAGGACTCTACGCTGATCATGCAGCTCCTGCGGGACAACCTGACGCTGTGGACGTCGGACACGCAGGGCGACGGCGACGAGCCGGCTGAGGGCGGCGACAACTAATGCCGGCGCGCGCCGCCCCACTCGCATTTGTTCTCATCGGTGTTTTGTAAGAAACGAGCAACATTCGAGAACGTCGCGCGGCGCGGCCGTCCCCTGCTGCCGCCGCGAGCCGTCGCTTGTAAAAATGTTAAACATGTCATTCGCAGCGGACCTTCACGTTCCGTCTAAAATTAAATGTTATGTGTCATCTTTGACGATTTTGTATTTCTGTATTTACACTGGATTACAGATATCGAGCTGACCTGATGAATATAAATATTTATAACTTAAGTTATTAAAATTACGGTTTCTTAAGTTAAAAGTGTTTTCCTTTATTATTAAAATGAACTCGACAGCCTGGTCGGCCCCAAAGTAACATTCCTTTCGCCGCATGTCCGCAGTGAAATGGAGATCATGATGGTGAATGTTTTGAAAATTATGCAATTAGTTTATAAAAATTGTTAAAGTGCGCCCAATAACCCAATTAAACCTAGATTGTCATAATAAATCCACAAACTGTAATGGCTGTATCAAATTAGGGCACAAAAAACTTGTTAGTGTCTTTTATGTGGTTTTTTGTGATGTCCTCGATTAATTTAAATATTACCAAAGCGAAACTTACATTGACATTAACCAATTTGTTGTGCCCATCACTGATTAATAATAGCATTCTGAATTTTCAGGCATTTATTAGCGAAATAGTTTTTGTGATGGACAATTATTGTAACATTTCTGCTGCATTTTATCAGCCATTAATCTATTATATTTTTCATGTTTTCACCAATAAATTTTTGTATTAAATACAATTTTTAGTTTTAGAACCAATATTTAAATAAACCGTCACCTGTTAACCCCACAAAAGATTTTTGTCTAAGAAATGCATTTTTAACTTTACCTTGTGATTGGTTTAAATGGGCGAAGAAGATGAATTCATTTAATGACTAAAAACCCCTTTCACATATTCACATATACCATCACGTTAACCTTATTCCTGTTTATAAGACCTTACATGCGTGTCGTCTCTATGCAATTTCGTTCATGATGCATTCTATTTATTTTGCGCATATCGTGCAACGTAGGGTAGATATAATCTGTAAAAGTGTTCTATTATTTTGATCTTACATTTTTCAAGATTAGATACCTCCCTCTTACCTATATCCGGTGTGATCTGGTTTTGAAGGGTATAGAGAGCCAGCATAATTACATGATGTTTTTTTATATTTATTTTAAGTTGCCGGGGGAGGGCAAACACGCATGTTAGTTTCTATTTCACGACTATGGATTGGTATTTTAAAAACGAAATACATAGCTGAAAGTGTTTCATGTTCTTTAAATAATTCATAAGAGTCTTAAAAGAAACTTTAATACCTACCTTTAATTTTACAATTAAGGGAAGTGCATATACAGGGTTATTTTTCAAAGAGTAGCCAAACTTTAAATTTTAGCTCAAATATATAAATGATATACCGTTATTGCAGGTTTTGAAAATACGAGTAAATAAGACTTTTTTGTACTACTTTATTTTAAATCTTATTATATGATTTATGGGTAACGTTTTTACTACCGATCGACCCTTACGAATGTGTGCGCGCGCAAAATCTGTTAAAATAATACGAGGGTGGATTGAAAAGTACTCGGCCTAACACAGATCCATTCAATTCTAAAAATCAAATCTACCCACATTATTTAGTTCAGTTCAGACTAGTTCATTGTGTGAAGTTCGAAACGTGTGCGATAATTAGTTGTGATTTTATAGATTTATTAACAAAGTAATCGGACATAATTTCCGCGAATGGAGCAAATCGAGCAGCGTGCCGTCATTAAGTACCTCCATAAGAAGGGGCTATCATCAAAAGCCATCCATGATGACATGGTCAGTACATTAGGCGATTGTGCTCTGTCATATTCATCCGTCAAAAAATGGATAGCAGAATTTAAGCGTGGTAGAGAGAGTGTGAAAGATGAACCCCGCTCTGGAAGGCCTTCGACGTCAACTACTGACGAAAATATTAAAAAAGTACTTGATTTAATAATGGGAGACCGCAGATTAAAAATTAGAGAGATAGCCGAGATTATAGGCATCTCTTATGAACGAACTCAAAACATCATTGTCAACGTTGGGTTGGGTTTCCACAAGGTGTCTGCGAGGTGGGTTCCGCGACTGCTTTCAGTTGAACAAAAAAGGACGCGATTGACTATTTCACGCGACTGTTTGGAGTTATTTGAAGCCGATGCAGATGATTTTTTGAATCGTTTTGTTACTATGGACGAAACATGGGTTCATTACTGTACACCGGAAACAAAACAACAATCAAAACAGTGGAGAAGACCTGGTTCACCACCCCCTAAAAAGGCTAAGTCGATTTTGTCGGCAAATAAGGTGATGGCTTCAGTATTCTGGGACTCGAAAGGTGTGATTATGATTGATTATCTTGAAAGGGGTCAGAATATAAGCTCTGATTACTACTGCACCTTACTACGTCGTTTACGAGAGGAAATAAAAGAAAAACGTCGAGGAATGCTCAGAAGAAAAGTCCTGTTTCATCAAGATAACGCCCGTGTTCACACGTCAGTACAGTCAATGGCTGAAATTCACAACTGTGGCTTTGAACTGTTACCGCATCCGCCGTATTCACCTGATCTGGCACCATCAGACTTCTTTCTGTTCCCTAACCTAAAAAAGCACTTGGGAGGTCAAAGATTTTCGACAAACGACGAGGTCAAAGCAGCTGTAGACGCATATTTTGACTCTAAGGAAGAATCATTTTTTTTCAACGGTCTAAATGCTTGGAAGGGGAGGTGGCAAAAGTGTATTGAAGTTGATGGTGATTATGTAGAAAAATAAAAATATAACTGATTTAGTATTTGTTTATTTTCTTGGTTAGGCCGAGTACTTTTCAATCCACCCTCGTACATACGCATTTTTAATTTAAACTACAAAAAAGACAATCTTTGAGAATTTTTTTTTATTTATTGATATTTCTTCACCATTTGCTTTTAAAAACAACAACAAACTTAAAAATAAATAAAGTAGCAGTAGATGAACTTAAAAAATAAATAAAGTGGAACCTAATTTATAAAACGTTAAAATAATTTACACATAATTTATGCGATAGCTTCTGTAGTCGGGGGGCTTAAGGCCCAATTTACACTACCGCGGAACGGAACGGAAGCGAATTTTTTGTAACGAAATTGTATATAGTAAAATTAGTTTTATGTTAATTGTATAAAGTTCAAACTAGATATGAGCCAAAAAAGTCGCGCGTCTTCCGTGGAATTCTCGAGGATTTCCCTAGCTACCGTGGCGCAGTCTGTGGAATCCAAAGATCTAGACGTAACTGAACGTTTTAGCTTCGAGGCGCAGTCGCTGGAATTCGCGCGGCTTCCCGCGCGATGAGGCGATATTGACGCTTCCATTCCGCCGCAATGTACATTGAGCCTTATTCGACACACTGCTTTAGCACTAACGACTGCTAAGTTAGATCTTTTTAGCTTTTTTTAATTTTTTAATATTAGACCTTTTGAACTAAACAACACAAGCTTGGAGTAACAACTATATCGATCTCCTCTCTATATACATATTACATTAAAAACGTCATACCCAAATTTTTCCACCCTTGGCGTTCTTCAAATTTGATTTTTGAAATGGCACTCATTTTATTATTATAATAGCTAATATTCAATTGTATACAATATGTAAATTTAACAGTGAAAGCAGATAGGGTGGATGCCCCTAATACCAGCCACGCCCCTAATTCCAGCGTTTTCGCCTTTTTACTTCATAAATAAGGTTTTTAGTGGTCTTAGCTAGACATATTGTCAACTAAAACATTCTTCGTATCTAGGGGAAAGTATATTTCAAATATTATAACATAGCTATAAATCTATCAGTGTTAAATTAAAAATCAAAACGTACACAACGAAAAACGCTCTATTTCCAATTTTTTGACAAGTTATGGTCCCGATAAAATTAAGCTCATTTTACATTATCTCATCTTGAGGCTTTTTGATATGTATTTATATTACTATAGACATAGTAATGCAGTTTATTTGTATACATTTTCAAGTTTTTTTATTTTCTTTTGGTGGAAATTAATGGGGCTGTAATTAGATATACGAAATGTATGGAGTGCGCAATGTCAGCCGTCAGGCTGTTATTTGATTTGGCATACCTAATAAGAAGTAGGTACTTAATTTCAGCTACGTAATAAAAATCAGGGTTGTCATAAACTGGAATGAATTTAATTAATTATGACACAACTTATTTTGAGACTAGACGATATCACTAAGGAAGTTAAGATCAATTCGTCTATGGTAAAAATTGGTTTTTGAATTGCGTCTTGAAAAAGATATATATTTACTTTTCTACCAGACATTTGTTGTACAACCCCTTATATTTTCAGTTTAGGTTATTTTTTGAGAAAAACTAAAACAGAAAAAATCATAATTAATTATAAAATTGTGGTACTAATTATTACCATAGTTGCTCAGGACTCAGGACCTTCATTTGCAGCAATTTATGGTGCATTGGTATACGTGTTCCGGCTTTAGACTTTCGATGCAATGAACTATTATAATGACTAGATTATTAGAAAACTTGGAAGATTAATTTATAAGAAATCGATGAGCTTAATTAAAAAAAAATATATTAAAGAAAAATCGCACTTCTTACAATTAAAACACTTAGGCTACAGTAAGGTACGTACGTTTACGTAGTAAAAAATTTAAATTTAATAATTATTGTTATCTGTCTTAATTCATATTTCATGCTTGTAGCATGCATGATTCCAAATAAGAAGTTGTTTACAGTGCCTCTAAAACATATTATATTATCAAAACTTACAAGTATCTATGTACCAAAAACTCAAAGGGCACAATCCTATGCTAGGCTGGCATTAGGTACACAAATGATGACATTCGGTACAGGGTGGCTGGAATTTAAGCCATAACGTCTTCTTTTACTTATCGTCGTTTTTGAAATTGTTCTCGAAACATGAAGATTGTAAACTAATGTTCATTATATTTTTGGATAAATAAACTATCGATTAAAACCAGTATTTAAAAATACTGTGCTCTTATATAAAAAGCACGAATTTTTGAAGTTGAAATTGTCACTAAAAGGCTGGTAACAGGGGCATCCATCCTAGATAATTACTTTTATAAAAATAACCTGTTGAAATTAATAAATCAAGGTAATCACCGAACATTGCTCTAACGAAAAGGAAAGCCGGATTATAAAACTAAAGTTAACTGTAGTGGAAAAAAAAATTCTCATACATCGATCGATATCACGGTCGAAGGTTAAGAACCTGTCCGCACTGCTATATTTCACCGCGCGATTTTTACTCTCGTATTATATTCCGTGATTGGAATTACACCTAGTACGCACTGCGAATAAAATTTCGTACGTTTTTTGTCAGTTACATGCAGTTCCCCGATGAAACCATAGGATGAAACGCACGTATAAAAATGAACAACAGAATTTTTTTAATTTACCTGATACTACGGCGGCGGCGTGATAGACGTATCAAAAGATTTAATGAACACTGGATTCACCTAATTTACGTCCTTGAGACCTATGAAAGTATTTTTCGACATAAAACAAAGACTGCGAAAATACAGTAAAAAGTTTTTCGGATATTACAGAATGACTACACAATCATTCGATAATTTACTACTTGTTGGTTGGGCTATGAGTAGTAATTATTTATTATTATATAGACCTATGAAGATAAGAATAGGGCAAAAGTCATTTTAACTGGAGAGAGACGCGAAATGCGAATTTTATTCAGCAGTGCGGAATAGAATAAAATAATTTTTTATTCAATATTGATTATTACATAATACTTATTGAAAGTCATTTTTTATTTACCACTGGTTCGAAAAATACCTCTGTCCTGGGAAGAACCAGCAAGAAACCCAGCGGGACTTCTTCAAACATATTTCATTTAACAATAATTTCGTTTATACAATTTTAGATGATTTTTCATAGAACCAGCATGGTGGCGATTACCAGGAGTTATTTTCATTCATGTATTCCTTGACATTATAATAATCCTTTTTGTACAGTTTTCGCTGAATGGACATGTCATACCTACTTTATACTGCCCAAAATATTCGCGTGGAATTAAATCGCACCGCTTTGTGTTCAATTTGCGTCAAATCACAGAATTTTTTCCCGCGCGATTTTTTTTTACCGCCAGTGCGGCTACTCTTATACCGGGTTTGGACTCTCGCCTCGCGCCTCGTCTCGTACCTCGCCTCGAAACTCGCGTGTTGCGAGGTAACGAGTGCCTGTTTACTCTTGCGATGCGTTCAGTTTGCGTTGAACCAGCAACCATAGATAAATATATATGTAGCAAGCTACGATGAAAGACGTCGAAATCAAGCGGCATCAACTATTGCCTTAATAAGTATTTATCGATGCTTGATAATTTTAAAAAGAAGGAAATTAAAAAAATACGTAGTTGAGGAAGAATATGGTGGATGATATCTATTCATCGAAACATAACCTTTTCAGTTTCATAATTTTATATAAATTGCTAGTACCTATTGTGCAAGATTAAATAATATTATTTTATTAAAATTGAATTTTAAAACAAAAGCAATTCGAATGTTATTAGGGAAGGGCGCCGTAAACAAACTGAAACGAGAGCGCGAGTGTAAACACCACGCTCGTGTCCCTCGCGAGGCCCTTTGCCTCGTGCCCAAAAAACCGCCTCCGACGCGAGCGCCGCGACTCGCCTCGCCGCTTACGCGAGAGTGTAAACGGGGGGTTATAAGATTCTATGTAACAGAATTGCGTGAAAAAAAATCACGCGGTGAAATATCGCAGTGCGGACAGGCCCTAACCAATTCATTGCGGATGGCACGCCAGGAGTGCCAACGATGTTATTTCTGTGTGGCGTATGGACACGGAGTCGTGTCATTTTAAAAATCGTTATAACTCGCTCAAATTGCGTTTTCGGAAGCTTTACTAGCACTCATTGCGATCGACCACGAACACAAGTTTAAACAAGTTTCTGGAACATCACCTGTTAAAAAAAACATAATGCGTGTCTTATGGTTTAATTTTTTTTAAATGTTAAACTGCCGTCTTATCTAATCAGTTATTATGTGGCTGAATGGGTCTACGAAGTACCATGTGCGCTTGTGGTAGTTTATTTTTGCTTGAAACTGTTCGAACGCGTACATGCAAAAAATGGAGTCTACTGTTCGTCCGCCGGCCGGCCGGCACAGCATCGGTGCATCTATAGCCATTGTTTTTTTCTTTTGAAAACACTTGTTTTTCTATTTTTACTAATCAGACGTCCTGACATGATAAGTTTTGTCGTCATCAACCTCCGTCTCAGGAATATACTTGAGGCTACGGCTTAATTCTAAAAAATTAAAAATAATTGCTATGTTACATACAATAATATTATTAATTTAAAACTGGTATATTTCCCAGTGTATTGGCGGTTAAGAATATCCACTACTCCTTATCTTCCCGTGGGTGTCGTAAAAGGCGACAAAGGGAAACAGGCAGGAGATGGTCAGCAGCATCTTCCTGATAACAACAAACTTACAATAAAAAAAAACTGCGGTTGCCAACCCGCCCGCCAAGCGTGGCAACTATGGCGAATACCCCCCTATGATGAGAGTAACAAAGAAACTGCCCCCACTCCCCGGCGGCCCCGCTATTTCTGGCTACGGTGGCGACCATGGCAACGGCGGGGCAGGGGGTGCTAAGAATCTCCGGTGGAGGTTCGGTTGCCACCTAAGACGACTCGACCTGGCAACATACAACGCACGCACCCTGAGGACTGACGATAAGATCGTGGAGCTGGAAGAAGATATAGACAAGTTACGCTGGCATATTATAGGATTATCCGAAGTCTGAAGAGAGGGGGAAGACACGGTAATCCTCGTATCACCGGGAGGGCGATCATCTGTTAA